TTTTCCCCCAGAACCAGGGATTGAACTCAGGCCCTGTGCTTGCCAGGCAAGCGCTTATTCTACTGAGCCATCTCCCCAACCCCTGTAATATATTTTAAAAATTTAAACATTTATCATATTTTGTGACCACACCTTATAGGATGCACAAGGTCAAATAATTGTAAAGAAACATATAAAATTAACTCTATTAATGAAATGGTAGAGCCCTTGCTTAGCATGCTTCAGGGCTTGGGTTTGATTCCCAGGACCTCAGAAAAAAATCGTCTATCCTCATTTATGTCATACATTTATGAGGAATGAAAGAGTGGAAAGGATTTTGCAGAATGGGGATCTCCAGGAGTTGGTGTGGATTTGCAGTGTGAGGAGTCAGGGATGACAGGAAGTCTTGAACTGAGTGGGTAGTGGTACCAACTGCTAGGGTGGAGGACGACTCAGGAGAGAGAGGTACACGGGCTTTTGGAGAGGGGCTTGTTGGATTGAGAAGAACCTTGAGGGGGAGGAGGCTGCCCACAGTTAGATTAGATTGTACTTGGTTTGGGAAGTGCCTAGCCTATATGCCCAGCCACGCTGCTGAAGTAGCCTAGGGGAAGGGCACATTTTCTTAACTGCCACAAAGACTCCTTTGTTTGTGTGCTGTGGCCCTTGTAGATGGCACAGCTGGGTGGAGGGAGATGTGGTACTCATCAAAGTAGACAGGAAAAGTTGCATAAAGGGTAAGAATGAGGGAGGGAATTGAGAGAGGAACTGGCCCTAGGGCCTAACTGAGGAAAGCTGCTGTGAAGGAAAAGGAGCAGTGTGTGAGTGAGGAGAACAAGGCCAGGGAACACAGAAGAGCTAAGATGGCGAGAAGGTGCAGAACACAGGAGAGGAAGTGTCAGGGGCTGCCCTGGAGCTGGCATGGGGGTGACCGTGATGAGCGCTCACTCACTTACACGGAGCAGGGGCAGAGGCCAGACAGCAGAGCCTGGGAGGACATGGGGAGGTGAGGAAGTAGAGCCCCAAGTGTGAGGTAGGATTGCAAGCTAAGGCAAGGTGAGAAGACAGCACGGCAGTGATGGCCAGAAAGGACTTAGGACACTTGCCTTGGGTGTGTGGGGGCTGCTCATGTGCTAGGGCAGGGGCTTCCCTGAGCAGAGGGAAGTGGGTAGGGTGCAGAGCACAAGTGGCCTCAGGTCTGGGGAGGTGGCAGGGGGTGCAAAGGAGTGGAAGGGCTGGAGGTCTGGAAGTTCGTGCTGTGTCCTCACCCTGGGTGCAGTGTCACAATGTCTCAGAGGAGCTTGGTGCAGTGTTGTGGCTAAGAGCTCAGGCCCTACAGACAGCAGACAGCTCAAGTTCCTGTTCTGGTGTCACACTGTGGTCTCAGGCCAGTCACTTAACCACTATGTATCTCTATTTCCTCATCTGTCTAATGGGGGTTAATAAAAGTACCTAGCTCACAGCATTGTTAGAATTAAATGAATGCACGTTCTATAAAGCACAACCTAACATAAAATAAGTCTTATTGTTCTTCTTATATTGATTGCTGATGTCATGAGTGTGGCTGGAGGTAAAGCTTTGAAATGCCTTCGGACTGTATCCTGTCTATACAAGCCTTCCACAGTTTCTCCTTCCTCCCTTCTGCACACACCATTTGCCAATGCTTTCGTTTTCCTCATTGTACCCAGTCCTCAGGTGTGGACGGGCTGTCCCAGGGTCCCTTGAGACTTCTGCACCCCTTGATTTGAGAAGTATGCTCCTTTTAAGACAGCCCGTGCTAGTCAAGGCCAGTTTACTAATTGGGTGACATCTGAGTCTTCTCTGGCACCAGTGGTCACTTCAACTCTCAGATTATATGAGGATGATTAAACAATGTAGTGCATGCCTATATTAGACATTTTATTACAGTAAAAGACACATTGCCATCTGTCCCCATCAAAATACTTCCCCTGGATTTGAACGCACTTATCCCCTTTTTCTTGGTAATGTTTCTTTTACCATAACACATTTAAAAAAAATTAAACAGTCACCGTATTTTTCAGCCACCCCATGTACTTGCGTAGTTGATAGAGAGCTATAATTCAATCCCAGAGAGAACCTCCGAGAGAGAGAGAGAGAGAGGGGATGAATAAAACCTGATGTTGAATTTGAGGCTTAGGATAACTTCTTCAATTTAAGAGTGAGGGCAAAGCCATACTCAGAGCTAGGCAGGAGCAGTCAGAAAGGGGAAGAGCAGCCAGAGAACTGTTGTTCTAGAAGCCAGGGGAGGAAAAAATTGGGGGCCAGGGGTCTGAGTGATGGCCTGAGGTGATGGATAAAGGCTTACGGTGGGTTGCAGAGGATTTTAGGGGGAACACGTCAGCCAACCTCCTGGGCAGGTCACTTTTCCCTCTTTGAACTTCAAGTTCCTTCTCTACAAAATGAGTCCATGGCAGACTCTATTGAGATGGACTAAGAGACCTGGGGTACCCTGATGAATCCCGAGTGACTGGCTTCCGGCTGTTTTGAGATATACCAAGCACTGAAAGCTAACCTTTATTGGGCACCTACTGCTTGCCAGGCCACCCCCCTCCCTTTTTGATCCTCAAGCCCAGACTGTGAAGAAGGTACATGGGCCTTTTTTTTTTTTTTTCTTTTTACTGGTGAGGAAACTGAGTCTTGGCTTGTGAGGAGACTGCCCAGGAGGCTGAGTTGGGGATTGAAGGAAGAGTGCCTGATCCTTGCCTGCCCTTTACAACAGGTGGTACTTCGGAAAGATCAGGAGGAAGGATGCAGAGAGGCAGCTTCTCTCTCCAGGCAACCCCCAGGGGGCCTTTCTTATCCGTGAGAGCGAGACCACCAAAGGTGAGAGTGGCCCAGCCATGTGGGTGGGTAGGGGGTTGACTGGATCAGGGTCAAGACTGGGATCAACTGAAGGGACAGATCTCAGGCTGGCTTTGGGTTCCAGAGACATGACCTTCACACTTTGAATCTCCAGCTAGTGAAAGGGGTCTCTTCCTGCTACCAGAATGAGGGAATGGTGGATTCAAAGTGACTCTTCCTCACAGGCGCCTACTCCTTGTCCATCCGTGATTGGGATCAGACCAAAGGCGATCACGTAAAACATTACAAGATCCGCAAGCTGGACACGGGTGGCTACTACATCACCACGCGGGCCCAGTTCCAGTCCGTGCAGGAGCTGGTGCAGCACTATATGGGTGAGGCGGGCTTCAGATCCCTGAGTGGATTTACTGTTGTGTTGTCCCATTGGGGACATTGGGGCCCAGAGAAGGGAAAGAATTTCCAGAGATGTAGTGCCAGAACCAGGTATAGAGATTCCCAATCCTGGATCCTGTTCTGTAGAGTCCAGAGGAAACTAAGGCCAAAAGCAGCCCACTGCCAAGTAGCACCCCCTACTGTATGAAGAGGAAATTGCCCCAAATCTGGAACCTTGAGTATCTGGAAAGCCCTACCAAGGCACCAGAGCAAGAAGCCACCACCACAGAGTGTTGACAGAGGCTGGTGAGGAAGTCCAGATGCTGGGTGGAGCTTGAATGACAGAGGGCAAAGATGAAAGAGGGGTCCATTAAAAGACAGTAGCCATTGTCCAGCTGAGAGATGATGGTAGCGAGATTAAATCAATGGTAATGGAAAAGGCAGAAGTGGCCAGTTCTGAAGTTGGGCAGAAGCAGCAAGAACCTAACCTGAGGGGCCGAGAAGATAGCTCAGTAAAATAAGTGCTTGCCTGGCAAGTGCAAGGACCTGAGTTCAATCCCCAATTCCACAAAAAAAAAAAAAAAAAAAAAAAAAAAAAAAAATTATCCTGAGGAAGACCTGGTTTTGGGGTTGAGAAGTGAGAGTCAGCGACCAACTTTGCACTTTGATTGGTTAAGCCAAGGCCAAAGTCCATGGATGCACTGGGCATTGTCTGCAGTCCTCAGTCCAATTTCCACCTGCCCGAATCCCACATTACCTTTAAGGGCCCAGCTGGAGGCCACCTCCTATGCTGGAAGGCCACAGTACCTGTAGGAATCATCTCTCCCTCTCGGTGCCACCTTTCCTTCCTGGGCACCAACATATTCATCCACTGCTGGCCGGTAACCTCATCTGGAGCCTAGTTACTTCTACGTGATCTGAGGCCTGGCATGGGCTGGCTGGGATAAGGGACTGAGGGTGTCCTGACCCACCTGTGACCTCCCTCCTTTGGCTCACTCCTCAGAGGTGAACGATGGGCTGTGCTACCTGCTCACTGCTGCCTGCACCACCGAGAAGCCACAGACACTGGGCCTGGCCAAAGACGCGTGGGAGATCAGCCGCAGTTCCATCGCTATGGAGCGCCGGCTGGGCACGGGCTGCTTCGGGGATGTGTGGCTGGGTACGGAGGTCCCAGGATCCGTGGGGTGGGGGTGGTGCTGGGGCGAGGAGGGACTGGGCCGGTGGGACACAGATTTTGACAAGAGGCGGCTTCGTCGGACAGGCACGTGGAACGGCACCACGAAGGTGGCAGTGAAGACCCTGAAGCCAGGCACCATGTCCCCGAAGGCCTTCCTGGAGGAGGCGCAGATCATGAAGCTGCTGCGTCACGACAAGTTGGTACAGCTGTACGCAGTGGTGTCGGAGGAGCCCATCTACATCGTGACAGAGTTCATGTGCCACGGTGAGGGGCAGCCCAGGAAGCGGGTGTGGGTGGGCGGAGCTTCGGGCGAAGTTTAGTTGTGTCCAATGGACGATGCAAAAATCGGAGAGGTGAGGGCGGGGCCTGCTTACAGGGGCGGGGTCGGGGCGGAGCGTCAGGCTCGCTGCAACCAGCTGCCCGGTTTAAAAACCAAGTGGGGGGGGGGGAGGGGGAGAACAGAGGCGGGATTAGAGATGCCGATTGGTCCCTAAGTGGGGCGTGTCGCGAGAATAAGGAGATGACGGCAGAGTCGTCTCAGGCAGGACCTGGGCCAGATAGTGAGAAATTGAGGCAAAGAGACAGCCAACCTAGATGGGTGTTACGGGGAGGGGGGGGGGCGAGGGGGCACACGCAGGGAGCAGGGTCTTGTTGATTTTCTGGTTTCCTCTCGCAGGTAGCTTGCTGGAGTTCCTCAAGGACCCGGAGGCCCAGGACTTGAGGCTACCCCAACTAGTGGACATGGCATCCCAGGTAAACTGGACTAGCAGTCTTTGTCTCCCAGACCTCCTTCCTGTTATCCTTGCACAGATCTCTCGGCCTGGATCACCCGACCTGTCCCTGGGCTTACCGCCCCTCCCACTGTGTCTTCTGTGTCATCTGAGCCAGGGTGCTGTCTCTCCCTAAGGTTCAGTACCCACATCTGGAAGACGGATTTTTCAAATAGCCCCTCAGCCCTCGTGCAGACTATGATACTGTGGTTCCACGTGAGCTCCTTTCTCTCCACACGTCCCAGGTAGCTTCGGGCATGGCCTACATGGAGCGCATGAACTACATCCACCGAGACCTGAGGGCCGCCAACATCCTGGTAGGGGAGCGGCTGGTGTGCAAAATTGCTGACTTCGGGCTGGCCCGCCTCATCAAGGATGATGAATACAATCCCCGGCAAGGTGCCTGGCTTCACCTCACCTCCTCAGAACATGATCATACATACCCAAGACCCTTTTCCCACCCCTACTTGTCCCAGACTCCATCCTGATGTGTGTAAGAGACAATTTCAAGTTTACATCCCAGCTCAGCCACTTACTGTCTTTGGTGAGCTGCCTTTTCTGATCTGTAAAATGAAGATATTTAGTAGGTCAACAGGTATTTATTAAACACCTACTATGCGGCAGCCATTGACATGAATCCTTTAAAAAAAAAATTTTTTTTTCAGTACTGGGGATCAAATGCAGGGGCATTCTACCACTGAGCCCCACCCCCCCCCCTTTTTTTTTTTTTTTTTTTTTTTTTTTTTGCGGAACCAGGGATTGAACTCAGGCCCTTGCGCTTGCCAGGGAAGCGCTTATTCCACTGAGCCATCTCCCCAGCCCCCCTTTATTTTTTATTTTTTAAATATATTTATTTTTTTAAAATTTTATTTATTTGTGTGTATGTGTGGCCAGCTCAGCCCACCAGGGCCCGGGGCTGGCTAGCATGTGGTGCTGGGGGATTGAACCGCGGTCCCTGTGCTTTGCTAACCTTGTTCTAAGGTGCTTTAGACCACTGAGCCATCTCACCAGCCCTATTTTTTATTTTGAGATAGGATCTCACTTAGTTGCTCAGGCATGACCCAAATTGCTCTCCTGTTCACCCTCCCTAGTGCTGGCATTATGAGCATGCATCACTCCTATAATTCTTTTCTTTTTTGCAGAACCAGGGATTGAACTCAGGGCTTTGTGCTTGCCAGACAAGCACTTATTCTACTGAGCCATCTCCCCAGCCCCTCTCCTATAATTCTGAAAGGATGGGCAATGGGGCATAATGGAGATTTTGGAAATTTGTAGCCAAAATCCTTGGTAGGAACCCTAGCCACTTGCTATATAAGCTGGGCAAGTTACCTTATTTGGTCCTTTCTTTTGCTCAGCTATAAAATAAAGGATCTAAGAGTATCTACATCAGGGTGGTTTTATGTGGGTTCAGTGAGTTAAGTTATATCACTTAAAGCAGAACCTGGGGCCAGGGGGTAGCTCAGTGATAGAGCATTTGCATACCACATGCCAGGCCTGTGGCCCAATCCCCAAAGCTTCAAAAGAAAAAATTAGACACATTAAAAAGTGAAAAGTAGGGCCAGCCAAATAGCTCAGAGGATTAAAGCACCTGCAAGCTGGTGCAGGGGCCAGGGGTTTGATCCCCAGGCCTGCCATGCCAGCCCTATCTCCAGGGCATGTTGAGATGGCAATTGAGACTGGGCATGGTGGCGCCCACCTGTAATCCCAGCTCTTGGGAGGCTGTAAACAGTCAGATCACTATGAGTCCAATGTAGTGGTGAGACCCTGAACACCCTGTAGACTCTTTCTTTAAAAAAAAAAATAAATAAAAATTATATATATATACCAGGTCTTTTCTGATGTACTGGGAGATCTCTGCTCAGGATCCCCAAGTTCTCTAGTTCTTAAATCCCCATTCTTTCAATCAAGCAGTTCCCAGAGACCTCCCATGTCACTACTAATGTTCCCTTCTTTTACCCTACCTCTTCAGGGACCAAGTTCCCCATCAAGTGGACAGCCCCAGAGGCCGCCCTCTTTGGCAGATTTACCATCAAGTCTGATGTGTGGTCCTTTGGTATCCTGCTCACTGAAATCATCACCAAAGGCCGAGTCCCCTACCCAGGTGTGCGGGGGGTTGAGGAGCAGTCATGGGGAAGGGTTTTTTGGGGCTGCCCCTTTGGGAGGGGCCAGTCCCCTGACTGATGGAGCCCTGCCCTTCAGGCATGATTAACCGAGAAGTGCTGGAACAGGTAGAACGAGGCTACTACATGCCGTGTCCTCCGGGCTGCCCAGAGTCCCTGTACGAGGCTATGAAACAGACCTGGCGGCTGGACCCAGAAGAGAGACCCACCTTCGAATATCTGCAGTCCTTCCTGGAAGACTACTTTACCTCCACAGAGCCACAGTACCAGCCTGGGGACAACACATAGTTCAAACAGCCACCAGCCACCTCTTGGGAGGTGTCCATCAGCTTTTGCCAGTCCCTAGGGCTCTGTTTCCAAAGTCCCCAGGTATAGAACCTTATAGAGTCCTAGCGTTTCAGAGGAGACTGAGTGCTCAGAGCCCATCTAGGGCAACCCACGCAATGTAAGGGTGGAGGAAGTGGATGCTCCCAGGGCGTCTTTCATCTACTCTGCCCCCAGGCACTGCCTCTCCTCTTCTCAACTTGGACCCTACATGCCTCCAGCCTGTTTTCCCTGCCTCCTCAAAATGCTTCTATTTTGTCTAGCTATTTATGAAATTGTATATCCCTTCCCTCACTTATCTCCTGTCCCTGCATTCCTGCCCTCCTGTCATCCCACTCTGGTCCCGGTCACAAGAATTTACCTCCTACTCTCAGTTCTCTTGTGTCTCTAAGTTATAAACATGGGCAGTCTTTGCTGGGCTCCTTTCTTGCCGGCTGGAAGCTGTGCTCTGGGCCCAGATTTGGGTTCAGCACCCCTCTGAATAGTTGTGTGTGTGTGTCTGTTTATTGATGGTGTAGATAAGGAAAGTAACAACATGAAATCTTGAACGGGGAAAATTCCTTGAACCTTCCTTCAGAAGGGGTGGTGGATGGTAGAAGGTGAACAGGATAAGTTTGGTTATTGAAAACAGGTAAGGAAGGTGAGAGAATGCCTTAATGCCTACCAAGCACAGGACTGAAAAGGTATGGAGTTTTAGGATGACACGCCAAAGTCCTACTGGCCATCGCCATGTGAATTTAGGATGATTTGAAAGATGGACACAAAAGAAAGGCAACCAGAGATAAACCCAAATGTTGGGGCCAGGGAGATAGCTCAGTAGAATAAGTGCTTGCCTGGCAAGTGCAAGGGCCTGAGTTCAATCTCTGGTTCTGAAAAAAAAAAAAAAAAAAAAAAAAAAAATCCAAGCCAAAATGTCCCCTTCATTGCTGATGTGGCTTTCACTCTGTATACAATGGATTTGTTGATTTTTTCACCTGATTTCAGCAGATTTGCCAGTCATCACAGGCAACTTGGGACAACCTTTGGGCTCCTTCAGCAGAGGCAGAAGACCAGATCACAGCTGGCTATGCAGCTATCAGGTTCCCCAAAAGAGGACCCAGGAGGAGGGAGGGAGGGCAGAAGATTTGTCTAGCTTAGGGGATTTTACCAAAGGAGTTCTGCCCCCAGGGAGCTTCTGAAGCAGTTTGCAAGCAGTTTTGTTTGTTACAGGGACCAGGGGCTCCTACTTTCTAGAATCAGGGATTCTAAACAACCTGTAATTTCCCACCCTCCTTTGAGAAACTGGAACTAAAATGCTTCCGTGTGGGAACATGGGGACCAGAGAACAAGGATTCCCATCTTTCCTATCAGAAAGTGTTTGTTGACCCAGAGACTTGTTAAGGGAAATGGAAGTGGAAGAAATCTGGGAGCTCAGAATGGGTGTTACAATTGGCAGACAGTTCTGATCTAGGCACTGATTCTGGGGTGGGCCTTTTGCTAAGCAGGAGATTGGGGATGCAAACAGGAACAAGATGTGTCCCTGCCTCAGAGGAGTTCAGCTGCGCTGGGGATAAATAATAGTATTAAGAATAACAACTCATTTACTGTCTGCTAAATGTCAGGTGTGTTTGCATCCTTTTTTTTTTTTTAAATGTAATCCAGTCGTGAATTTGTTTCTGTGATGAGCACCATTGATAGAGGAAACTGAGGTTCGGGGGTCACATGAGAAGACAGCACCACCGAGCTGTGTGTTACACAGCCTGCTTTACACTAAAGCCCACAGTCTTCCTACTCCATCTCACTGCCTTTAGGCTTTGAGAAGAGAGAGAGAGAGAGAGAGAGAGAGAGAGAGAGAGAGAGAGAGAGCGCATGCGTACATACCTCATCCTTGTAGTAATCATTGGCAGAAAAATTCCCTGGGAATCTTTCAGAGAGGCCTTCAGAAATGGTGATAAGGCAGTCAGTGCAGACTGAGGGTTCTCTGGGCCCAGCCTTGTGCTGGAGGTTGTAAAGATGGGACCAAAGATAGAGATTACAAGTGGCTGCTCAGATTGGCTGTTGTAGGGGTGGGAGCCTTGGTGATTCAAATTCTCAGGGGCCAAAGCTTCCTGGGGGCCATAGTTTCTGGTCAACCAACTCACAAGAGCTTGATGTATACTTTAAAGAGCTGTGTTTTTACCTGCCCTGGAGTAAGTGGATAAGAGCACAGCTCTTGCAGTGCCTGATGTGGATCCTGTTTTTACCACATACCGGCTGTGTGATTTTGTCAGTTATTAATCTCTCCCAGCCTCACTGTGTTCACCTGTGAAGTAGCAATAAAATCCTGACTCAGTGCATGTAGCTCTTCTTGTCACTGCTGTTGACAAAGTGCTCGAGCCATTTCATCCTCACAGAACGCAGGGAAAGGGAAAGCTCTTCTGTCTTCATTTTGCTGGTAGTGAAACTGAGGCACAGTGCAGTGAGTCTGCATTTTCAAGATTTATGGGGCGTACATGGCAGGCAGCACAGGGGCTTACTCTGAATCTGGCCCCCACACCAGTGCTCTCTGTCTCTGTAGCCTTTTCCTAAAAGCAGAGCCTCCTCATCTGCCTTCTGGAACCCTACCTGCTACCTGGATGCCGGTGGTCTCAGTGAAGGCCCAGTAGGGCAGCCAACCATCGGGAGTTCAGCAGGCTCCTCAGAGCCCCTCAGAAGACCAGCATCTTCCTCTGCCTACTGGCTCCCCATTTCTCCCTCTGGAGCAGCTGAATGAATTTCCCTTGTACCCCATTTCAGTGTAGCCTTCTGTTCCCTTCAGATAGAGCACAATGCAATTGATTAGGCTTCTGCTTTCTCAATTTCAATCACATCCTCGCCCTGCCTCCCTGAGATTACAGGCGGGTCACCTTGATTGCGGTTTGCAGGTTTGCACCGTTCACAAAACTCTTCAGTCGTTTACAAAACCATCTCTCGCCTCATTCACTCCCCCACCTGGCTCTTCTCCTTCTTGATGCATGGATTTTACTGGCTTAAGACTCAGAGGGCAATTTGATTTCCAAGTTCATGCTTGGGGAGGAGGACATCTAATTGACTAATGCTGGGTGTTTCGCATGCATGGTCTAATTTGATCCTCACCATGAGGCAGTGCAGAAGTGAAATGATCACCATTTTACAAAAAGGGAAATGAAGACTCCGAGAGGCTCTGCCACTTGCCCAAGGTCATACAGCTGGATCCTAGGGCCAGGATTTGAACTCATGAAGACTCCTGTGCCCCACAAGGCCATATTCCTTCATTTGATAAAGCAGCATGGAAAAGTATATTAGGGGCCAGGGAGATGGCTCGGTAGAGTAAGTGCTTCCCTGACAAGTGCAAGGGCCTGAGTTCAATCCCCGGTTCTGCCAAAAAAAAAAGAAGAAAAGTATAATATTGATCTGAAATTGGGCCTGGGGAGGGCATGGTGCAAGTAGGAGCCCAAGGTAGCCCTATCCATTGAGTATTAGACTCATAAAATATCTATTTTTTTATTAATTTCAAACACCTTATCTGATGTCTTCCATAGGTTGGTCCTGTCCAGGAGACAAAACAGCAATGAAGAGCCGGGGAGATAGCTCAGTAGAATAAGCACTTGCCTGGCAAGCGCAAGGCCCTGAGTTCAATTCCCAGTACTGCAAACAACAACAACAACAACAAAAAAACAAAAAAACAGCAAAGAAGGAGCTTAGCATGGTGGCACACACCTTTAATCCCAGTACTTGGGAGGCTAAGGCAGGAGGATTGCTAGTACAGAGGTCAAAGTCAGCATGGAGGACAGTACAGTCCCGTCTAAAAAAACCCCAAAAACAAACAAACAAAAAAACCAGTAAGTAATAGCAACACTTAGGGCTAATATCATCCTGGGAGCTAAGAGCAGTTTCTTGGAATATATGAGAGAAGCTGGCCTGGCAAAGCAACCCAAGAGCAAGGTCATCTCTGGCTGAGGGAACAGCATGTGCGAAGGATAGCACAGGACGGCTGAATCAGGAAAGTGCAAATGAGGGCTGGTGAGATGGCTCAGTGGTCTAAAGCACCTACTTAGAACAAGCCAAGCTAAGCAAAAGCAGAGACGGCGGTTCAATCCCCAGCACCACATGCCAGCCAGCCCCGCCCCCTGGTGGGCTGAACTGGCCACACACACACTAAATAAATAAATAAATAACGGCGGTTCAATCCCCAGCACCACATGCCAGCCAGCCCCGCCCCCTGGTGGGCTGAACTGGCCACACACACACTAAATAAATAAATAAATAAATAAAGTTTTTAAAAAAAAAAAGGAAAGTGCAAATGATCGTGTATGAGAGGACTGAGGGGGCAGATGGGACATGGAAGAAGGTTAAAGGGAGGGGGACGGAGGAGTATGAAATGGGAACAAGTCAAAAGGAAGAAACTCGGTGGGGATCCAGTATACAACTCGGGTTGTATCTGGATACATGCTCCATGACTGAGCTGCGTAGGTCTTCTATCCCTCCAGTAACTGTCTTCCAGGTACAGAATGGAGGTCTCTCTCCCTCTCTCCTCCCTCCTCCTGTTTATTACACACATTGCCTACAAGATGGTCCTGTGGTGATGTTCATACTCCCTCTAGTGGACACTCTGGGCGATACATCCAAAAGTGCGGAAAAACTTTTCCCTGGGACGGGAGGATCTGGTCCTGTTCAGAAAAGTCCCATTTCTGGACGGGAGATACAGAACTTTTCCTGCTCCCAGAGAGCAGACAGTTTAATGAGATGGGTGATCGGGAGGGAGGCTGAGGCAGGACGGTTGCAAGTTGAAGGGTATCCTGGGTCAGCTGGTGAGACCCTGTGTCAACATTTAAAAATGGAAAGGGCTGGAATTGTAGCTCAATATGAAGTCCTGGGTTCATTGCCCAGTAGTCACACACACACACACACACACACACACACACACACACACACACACAGTGACACAGATGAGAGAGCCAGAGAGACTGCATTTCAGACCAGACAGAACTAAGAAAAGAAAAAACAAAAGAAAAGAAAAAAAAGAAAGAAAGAAAGAAAGAAAGAAAGAAAGAAAGAAAGAAAGAAAGAAAGAACTAAGTGAGCTCAGAGGCAGGAAACAGGACCATAAAGAGTTATAATTGAAGGGGCTGGGAAGATGGCTCAGTAGAATAAGCATTTCCTTGGTAAGTGCAAGGGCCTGAGTTCAATCCCCGATTCTGAAAAAGAAAAAAAAGGGGGGGGCCTTGGGAGGTGGCTCAGTGGAATAAGCTCTTTCCTTCCTGGCAAGCGCAAGGCCTGAGTTCAATACCTAGTTCTGCAAAAAATAAGCACACCTGCTTAGGCATGGCACAGTGGCTGGGGTTTGATCCTTGGCAAGGTGAGCCGGCCCCACCCCTGGGGCATGCTGAGACAGTGATTGAGACTGGGCATGGTGGCACACACCTGTAATCCCAGTGCTTGGGAGGCTGAAGACAAGAGAATCACTACAAGTCTGATCTACGTAATGAGACTCTGTGCTAAATACATATAAGTAAATAAATAAATATTTTGAGGAGAGCTAAAGCAGGAGGATGGGTAGCTCAATGTAGCAATTTAGCAAGACCTTGTCTCAAAATAAAATGAAAAAGGGCTGGGGATGTTCCTCACTGTGAAGGCAAAACCAAGAACTTAAAGGGGACAGTGGCTAAGATTAAATCCAGTGCTAGAAGAAGGAGTCTGGTAACCACGTACTCGGCTGCCACGCTAAGCCTTGGGCAACTGGAAGCCACTGTAGGTTTTGAACAGGGAATAACAAGGTCAGAGTCACTCTCAGGAGGAACTTTCTGGTGACTAATATGAAGGAAGGGTAAGAGAAGAGTTGAGAGAGGGCACCCTAGGGCCGGCGAGATAGCGCAGTGGCGTGAAGTGCCTGCTTAGGCAAGCACAGGTACCTGGGTTCCATCCCCTGCACCACATGCCACGCCAGCCCCACCCTTGGCGTGCTGAGCCAGCCATGGAGTCCAGGTGTGGTGGCGCATGCCTGTAATCCCAGTGCTAGGGAGGCTAAAAACAGGAGATCACTAGGAGTCTGAGGATCACTATGAATCTTACCAGCTGAAGCAGCATGTAGTGAGACCCTGTACCAAATACATAAATTGACAGAGAGAGAGAGAGAGAGAGAGAGAGAGAGAGAACACCCTCTTGGACTTAGAGAATCACACCAGGTCACACTAATAGAAGAACACATAACTTTGACCAGGCCCGTGAACCAAGCAAACCAATGTTTGATGACATCCACAGATTCTTCAGTAGGGATCTAGGCCAGGCATTGACAAGTACAGAGTCACATTCAGGGAGACCTGTAACTCAGGTTCAAGAATGGAAAGCAAGCCAGGAGGCACATTTACCCTTAGACACAGGCAGACAGCCAGGGCCGCGCACACTATGATGGACACAGGAATTCACACATGCAGTATGGCTGGCAAGGGCTCTACCCTGCCCCCCTCTGTCTTGCCCAGGTCCCTCACCACCTCTGGTAGGAACAAAGCTGACCTTTGCCCTCTGCCCTCTGGCCTCTCCTCCCACACCTCCTGCCGCAGAGGGAGGAGCTGTTTGAAGTCTGGGCTGCAGCTGGGTTTCCTGTTGCCTGGAGGAATGTGGGAGGACTTGGCCAGGGGAGGAGAGAGAGGCTGGCTCAGGAGGAGGGCTCAGGGGGGCCTAGGGACCAAGGCTCCAGGGTACAACAAGGAGGGGAGCTTCCTGATTCCTGATCTCTTGGGCTCTAGCTGTGAGCTGTTCCCAACCAAAAGAGGGGAAAACCAGGGCTGTAATGGCTCTAGGCCAATGGCCCTCTTATTCCTGGATCTACAGCTCAGTGGCTTAGGAGAGTCCACACACTCTCTGGGGTTCAGTCTTCCCTTCTGTAGACTGGGCCGAACCACTCATTAGCAAGCCACATATGCCCAAAGCAGCCCTGAACATGGGGCCGGCCTCAAAACTTCTATATTCTACCTGCAGGGAGGGAAACTTGTACCTACCCAAGAGTTACTTTGTTCCAATCTTTCCATGAGTTCCAGGGGCCTGGCTGGAGGGTGCTGTGACCCATCAGTTATCATCATCATCATTATTACTTAATAATCTCTCCATATGCCTTCGCCAGTTTTCAAAGTGTTTTCATATCCATGTGCTGGGGCTGGGGAGATGGTTCAGTAGAATAAGCACTTGCCTGGCAAGTTCAATCCCGGTTCTGCAAAAAACAAAACAAAACACATGAACCAAAAAACCGAAAAAACAACAACAACAACAAAAAAAACCCCAAAACCCCCCACATATCCATGTGCTCAGTTAACCTCAAAAGTTCTACCTCTATTTTTACACATGGGAAAAATGAGGTTCAGGATAAGGACACACAACAAAAAGTAGGATTAGAACCACATATATATGGTTCCCAGTCCACATAGCCTCCAAAACCTTAAATGCAAAAACTCTATGTCTAAAAGTTTCAACAAAATTCCCCAGGTCTAGCTCTGGGGATTGAACCTGGGACCTTGCACTTGCCAGGCAGGGACTTATACAGCTGGACCCTCTATCACTTTTTTTTTTTTGGTGCAACCGGGGATTGAACTCAGGCCCTATATTCTACTGAGCCATCTCCCTGGCCCCTATCACTTTTTATTTACCCTGAAACACAAGTGGTTAGAGCAAGTTGAGCCCAGAAAAGATTAACGCAGGCTTTTGGACACTTTGGTTCCCCTCCCTCAAATCACCTTTAGCCTACCCCTGATGACGCAGGCATGGAGATTGGACACTAGGTGGCAGCAGCAGCCCACAAGAAGAGTCAGCCTGCGCTTTGGGGGACCCTCCAAAGACAGTTTGGGAAGGGTCCATGAGAAAGACCAGCCCCCAAATAAGATGGAGATGCTGCAGTGCTTAGTTCCCAATGATAATCAGCATCTTGAGGACAATCACAGCCACTTTTTCTGGGAAGGGGGCAGCTGAACCAGCATGCTTGGAAAATTCTACCTAACTTCAGTCCCCCTCATTCTGAGCCATGATCTCTGCCATCCTTGGTTCTGCACCTCACTACTTAGCCTCCATCCCTCCATACTTTTTCCAAACTCCTCTTTGTCCCAACATATCTGAGTATCCTGATTCCCTAAACTTGGGGTTACCAAGTTTACCCATCCACAGAAAACAGTCCAGATGGAGCCTACTGGGTAAGAATGAGGGGAAAATGTAACATTAGGTGCTGGGTGTTTCTTTAACCTCCCCAATGCTAAAGTCTGTCTTGGGGGTAGAGGGCAGATAGGGCAAGATGCCAAAGCATCATCTATTTATGATAATTTCAGACTTGACTTGGAGCTACAAAGTCCCTCTAAAAATTTTAGCCATTACTATTTATTAATATCTGACCTTATAAATACTTCCTATTCAATGAATAAATCTTTGAACCAAAGGTCTTTTATTTGCCCAGAGAAAATGCCCCCAGATAGAGGCTCCACCAGCTGCCCGGACCAGTCATGATGCCAACTCAATAAGTGTACTGAATAGAGCACTTCGTCTCTCTTGTTACAGACGCAGGTGCAACAGAGAGCCCCCACCCCTTTTGTCCTGCAGGGTTTCCAGATTGTCCTACAGGAGGGTTTGGGGAGGTGTGGGGAAGACAGTGACCAAGAGTTGCAATCAACAAAATGTTGAAATGTCATCACCTGCCTTTATCACACACTGGCCATTACCTCACAGGGTCAAAGGAGGAGTTGGAAACAGGTAGGCCAAGGACAAAGGGATTGCTGGAGCAACTTTAGACATGTAGTGAGATTGACTTAGCCAGCACATGCACCAGTGAGGTAGGGACCAACAGCACCAGTCAGGGATGGTGTTGGTGATCCTGAGGACCAAACAGTCCCCGGCTAGCCCAGAATTGGGAAGTACCACAAAAGCAGCTGGGAGATACCAGCTCCCTGCCACAGCCCAGGGGTTAAGTACATGGACTTTGGAATCACCAAGACCCTCAGATCAGGCTGAGCTTCACCACTGCCTGCTTGAGGAACATAAGCTTCAGCGCCCTTATCTGTAAAACAGAAATGATAGCAGCACTACCTTCCAGGATTGTCGCAGAGTTCCAGGCCCTGTGGTGCCCAGTACATGGGCTGTGTTAGTTCTTTCAGCGCTGTCCACCACCTCCCCCAGGGAAGGAAGCCCTCGGCAGGCAACAGCGCACATTCCCATCTGTGGGATAGGCCAGGCAGGGGGCCTGGAGCCAGGGACTGGAGAACAGATGTGACCTGAAGAGGAGGTAGGTGAAAGTGCTAAGCCCAGCCCCCCGCCGCAGCGGGAGCTCAGAACTGTTGAATTTGAATCCTGCTTCCTGACACATCAAGATCGCTCAGTGGAATTCGGGAGGGGGCTGCTTTCTGCATTATCTAGGACTTTTGCACCCTCACCACTGCTGGATAGTTAGGGAAACTATGCACTAGGGGCGAAATCCGTGGTCAGAGTCTGAGAAGGGGGTGGGAGGGTTCTCTGGGGGAGATGAAACGCTGGCTGGCGCTTCGAGGTTTCCCGAGCTGCATAGAGTCCTTCGCGCTTTAACTCAACAGGAAACCTTTATAAAAGGGGAGAAACTCAAATAGAGTGAGCAGGTCCTCTCCGTTCTCCTCTTCCCCTCACAAGTAACTGGGATGCCCGGTAAAGTCTCAGCCTCTCGCAGGTTCTCAGCTTCCCTATTCCACTCCCATTCCAGCCTCAGGCCCCGCCCCTTCGCTCCCACCCGACACCTCCGCTCGAGCCAGCGCCCCCGTGCAGGGGACAAGGAACGTGGGGCACATCCCTAATTCTTGGAAAGGGTTTGCCTCCCCCATAAGCCAGGTCGCGCCTCCGCAGGTGGGCCCCAAACCGCATCCTCGCGGACTCGCGTCCGCCCCGTCGCAGCTCCCGGCACCGCCCCGCCCGCCCAGTGCGCCGAGCGACTGGGGCGGGGACTACAAGTCCCGGCGTGCCCCGCGCGAGCTCCCCCCTGGGGTTCCGGATGGTGAGCTGCGAAGGTAAGGCGAGCTCGCAGAGGCAGCGGCGGCGGCGGCGGAGACGGAGAGAGGCAGGCAGGGCGAGGGCGAGAGACGGAGGGAGGGAGCGAGCGAGGCGGACCAGACAGACAGACAGGCGGGCGGGCAGGCAGACCGAGCCACCCGCCAGGCTGCGCTCAGCCCCGCTCAGCGGAGAGAGCAGAAGGCAGAGGAGGGAGGGGAGGAGGGAGGAGGGAGGGAGAGGGAATCCAGCTACCACCACCCAAAGCCAGCGTCTGCTTTCTGTCCTCATTTCCTTTTCCCACCCAGCTCGGAGAGCAGAGAAAGGCAAGAGAGAGCGAGAAATAGAGACAGGCAGGCAGGCAGACAGACAGACAGACAGCGGGAGGGAGGAGGGCGGAGGAGGAGGAGCAGGAGGACTACGCCGGGCGCGTTCCCTCCCAGGTTTGCATTTGGGGGGGTGGGGCGGGGGTGTCCAGGGCTGGGAGAGTGTGTGCGCGGCGGGAGGAGTGAGGGGGGCGCACCGAGAGCAAAGGAGTGATCGAGGTGGGGGGGGGCGCCGCGGGAGCGAGGGGCCGTGTCCAGCGGAGTTAGCGGCGGAGAATGTGAGCCGAGGCGCGAGCCATGCTGTCAGCGACGGCGGGCGGCTCAGGGCTCCTCCACGACTCCTCTCCCCAGCAGCCGTGCGCCCGCGTCGCTGCCGCCGCCGGAAGACAGACGCCCCCAAAAGCCCCTCGCCTGGCTCGGACCCACGGAGCCGGCAGCCCAGCACTCCGGTGAGTGGCGCCTCCTCCCCAGCCCTAGACCCCTGCTGGGGACCGGCCGGCCGGGCTCTTTTGTGCAGCGCACCGGGGGGGCCCCCGCGCCCCAGGTCCGGTCCGCGGGACCCTGTGGTTGCGGTGCCCGCGGTGCGATCGGTCTTTGTTTCCACCGGGGCCCGCGGCTCGGCTGGGCTCGGCTCGAAGCCTGGCAGGCAGCGCCGGGAAGGGGGAGGGGGAGGTGGACGGGGAGGGGGGGTAGGGAGGGGGGGTTCTCGGGTTTCCTGGCCGCCCCGCGGCTCCCCCGACTCGGGGGCGAGGTGCGCGCCCAGCGCTGCCGCGCGCCCCCTCCTCCTTCCCCCTCCCTCCGCCTTTGGATTTAAAACTGCAATTTGCTCTCCAGCTTGCTGAGAATGTTGGGGGGGGGGATGAAGGGGGACCGTGGGAGCGGAGAACAAGGCTGGATTTTAGGATTTGCGCTGGGAAACGGGGAGACTGCGGAGGGAGGAGCCCCTCCTCTGCAACCCCCAAATCCCAAGGTTCCACTGGTGCTCAGGGAGTTGAGGGGCGGGGACCTAATGACCTGGAGGGGGTGTGGGGTGTAGGAGGGATTTGGGGGCGGCTGGGGCCAGAGGGGTTGGGCCGCGTGCCCGGTTACCTGGCGAACAAAGTCGGCTCACTTTTGCATAAATAAATAAATAAATAACCGCCTATCTATGCGTTTCCTCCGAGGCTCTGATTGAATCGGCCCCCTCTTCCCCAGGGGGTGGGGTGCTGAGTGACAGCTGTCAGCCCCCTGGGCCAGGAGCTGGGGGTAAATTGCTGAATTTCTCTGCTTTCTGACTGAGGGCTCCTTCCTCTGCTGGGTCTGGGTCTCCGGCAGAGCCAGAGGGGCAGGGGGCTGGCTCTGAGTCTAGGAAATAACCTTGTTTCCTGTTCTACAGGAAAAGGGACAGCAACCCAGAGTTTGGGGGCTGGGGATGAGGACTGATGGGAGCTTGGGAGGGGAGGGTTCCCCAGCAGTCTGACCCCCCAGCCTCCTGCCAGGCAAAGGGGCCAGCTGAGGGAGGAAGGATGTGGGCCTTGCTGGCCGGAGGCGGGAGCTGGGGCTGTCCCTGAGGCGGGCAGCGGGCACAGAGCAGGAGGAGGGAGAGAGAAGCGGGGGCGGGAATTCTCTACCGCAGACCCTGGGGGCCAGGGCCAGATGTGGAGGGGTGGGGAGTCTCCCTCCCTTCCAGCTTGAGGGCCCTGGGGCTGGGCTGGGAGGGGCCAAGCCTGGTGCCCTCCGTTCTGCACCAGTGCCTGACTGGCAGGGCCAGCTGAATTTGGGCCCAGGCGTCACCCTGGGAGGCAGGGCTGGGTTGCACCAGCCTAGTCCCTGAACACAAGGAGGGACCCTTGGGGGGCCTGTGTCTGTCTGGCTGGGCAGGCGTTTCCCGCCGGACCAGTTGGTGTCAGGCGGGACTTGGCCCCAGCTCCCTGGGCTGAGCTCAGGGTGTGAGGACAAGCTTTGCCTTCGGGTCAGGGTGGCCACATTTTGTCCGCTGCTGCTGTTGCCTCTGGCAGGGCGGGAGCATGTGCCCAAGCCTGGGCAGAGTCCTGCCAGGGGCATTTGGGGTGTTTCTATTGTTGGCTTGTTCCTGTTCCGTGTGGCCCGGTGTGTGTGCCTGTGTGAGCTGGGGCTGTAAGTGAAAGATTACCAGTCTGTCTCCCCCCCAGCAGCATGAGGGAGCAGGCAGGCTGGGCTGTGGTGGTGAGCTGTTGAGCTGTGGGGGGACCCCCCAGGTGGCATGTGCATGCAGCTTGCCATCTCCCTCCTTTGAGCAGATGTATATTTATTTTTATAGTAATGGAAAATCAAACTGGATAGTAAGTTGAATTCATTTTTTTCTCCTGCTGTGTCAATAGTTGGAGTAACCCCCAGAGACTAGTGAACTTCTGGCCCCAGAGTTCCCACCCTTCAGAGGTTGCAAAGACCAGTGAGGGCATGAGACTGGGGCCAGAGGCAGTGGGCACCAGTCCAAACTAGTGACTCTTGTCCCTCTTGGTCTGCCTTTGGGGCAAATGCCCAGGTACATAGACATTGCCCCCCAGCCCCCCCATTCCCCAGGGTGCAGTTTGGCCACTCAGCCATCTCCCTGGTCAGTGCCTAAGTTGTCTCCAGTCCCTCAGGGACAGTCCCCTGGTGGGCTCTTTCCCCGGCCTGGGCTCCCGGCCCACGTGCTGATATTTATTTTCTGTAGTAAAATCCATTTTTAATGCCGTTACTTTTGAAATAATATAGAGAGAAACAAATGTGATGTGTTTAAGTTGCCCTCTGTGAGTTTTTAATGTGATCTATGGCTGAGGTAGTGATGGAAGGAGCTGTTGGGCTTGGAGAAATTTGGTGTCATAAAGAAAAAGAGTTCCACTGCTTATTGTGGTTGCTGGGCTGGGGGGTCTGGAACAAGGTCTTGGGGGCAGGGAACCCCCAACACCCCCAGATATTGTGGACAGAAGCCTAGCTTCTCTTTTGATGTGTGAAATACTGGGATTTTTGTGCATTGCTCCCCAGTGCTTGATGCAGACTTGGTGAAGGGGCTTGGGAGCTAGGGGGGCTTTGTCCCCCCCCCACTCCACTTGTTTAGATCTTGGCATGGAGGCTTCTGAACCCCCTGCTGAACTAAGCGGAGGTGCTGTGCGGAACTTGGACTTGGATTTTAAAGGAGATTAAGAGATGGGATTTCTACCTGATTACAGTGGCGCTGTTGGAGGGTTGAGGAGCTGACCACCTCTGACAAGACATTTGGGTGGGGGTCTGCTCTGGTAGAGCCTCAGAGGGACTTTGCTTGTTCCTGAATCTGCCTTAAAACACTGACTTTGAACCATTCCCCTCTCTGCCCTCTGCATCCATTGGACAGGGGCTTCCTCCAGGTTTGATCTCCTTTTTTTCCCCCCTCCCCCCTGTCCCACCCCCCAAGTCAACTTTTTTTTTTTTTTTTGGTTTGTAAAATACAGAGCTCTGTGTTTCATGCCAGCCACCCAAGACCATGGGATGCCATGCCTGCATACCAGATGCCCAGGCCTTTCTGGTTTGCCTGGGTGAGGTCAAGCAGACTCACTATTATGGGATGGAGCCTAACTCTGGGTCTGGGTCCCCTGACTCTCTTGGGACCAAAGGGGGTGGGACATAGTCAGGATGGGGTACAGCTATGGACTGCAAGAGGGAGCAAGGATGCTGCGATGCTGCTGTTGCTACTATCAGCAGATGGACCCCCCAGGGAGAAAGAATAGGGGGGAGGGAGACCCAGACAGCCACACACTGGTGAACAGAGGGAAAGATGGAGACTGAAGCCATTGATGAGAGAGAAAAAACACGCAAGAAGTGTGGGACCACAGGGGCAGGCTCTTCAGTCTAGAGGACTTAGAGGGCCTAGGCATATCCCACTCCTACATGGGAGCCAGATGGAGCTGGTGCTGAGGGCCTTTCACCCATGATCAAGTAAGTACTAAGGTTGTTCTGGGTGGGAAGATAAGCAGATGTCTGGGAAGAGGCAGGACAGGTGGGAGAGACAGAGAAAGAATCCCATAAGAGGGACAATGGGGAGAAAAAGAATTCCAGGGGTCTTGACTGATGCCCCCCAGCCCCAGGACATTTCTTATATATTCTCCCCAAATATCAGAACACAGCTGAGCTCTTGAGACCTGGGGGGTGGGACCTGAGGCAGGTATAGCACCCACAGGTTGTCAAGTGCCTTCTGCCAGGAGGCACTTGGGTTATAAAAGAATGGCAAGCATTGGGGCCATCATCCTCATGTACCCCAGTTTGGCGGGCAGCATCCAGGTTTAGAGAGGGGAGCCACTCACCTAGGTCCCTAGATACCCTCTGCAAAGCCAGGCTCTTGCACGCCACCTAACTGTAGCTAGAGAATTGGAACAGCTGCAGGGGGCCTCCTGGGTGCAGAGGGGGGCTGGAGGATGAGGAGAGAAGCAGTGAGGCACCCTTGTGGCCAGAGCCCCCCCAGGGGAGGGGGAGGCGCCACTGCCGGGAGAAAGAGGGAGGGAGGAGAGAGAGGAGGGGAAACAGTGAGTCAGGCTTCCAAGAGCTGAGGATGAGAGAGCCAGAGCTGGGAGGGAGAGGGCAGGGAGGGCTGCTCTGACTGGGAGAGGGAGGGGGCCCAGCCAGGGGCAAGGAGAGCCTGGGAGGGGGACAGCCAACCCCTGGTGCTGGCTCTGGCCCAGCAGTACGGCTGTGTAGAGGGTGCAGCCAATATGGACTTTGAGGTCAGTCAGGAAGGGGCCCGATTGTACCTCTGCAGCATCTCTTGCTTCATTCCTGCTTTCTGATCCTATCCCAGGTCTCAGATGACCCTGTCTTCCATCACTTTCTCTTAGGGCTCTGTTTCCCCATTCATTGTGAGGTTTGGACTCTGAGCTGTTGGATGGACAGAGCAGCTTGGGGCGATGTTGAAGGATGCAGTCTCAAGCCGCTGGCTGTGTGTGCGCTAGAGACACTGCTGGAGCCTGACAGCAGTGCAGGAGAGGGTGCAGGCCCCTGGGACAGGACTCCTGTTGAGGCCAGAGTTCATGTCATATGATAGGAGCTGGTGGGGTGAGCATTGAGTACTGAGAGTCACTGTGTGCGTGTGTGTGTGTGTGTGTGTGTGCGTGTGTGCATGTGTGTATGCATGTCTGTCTGTCTGTCTCCCTGTCTCCCTCCCTGCCTGCCTGCCTGCCTATCTGTGTTTCTGGAGTGGTGCTGGTCTTGCAGTGGTGGGTGGGCTGTCTGGGGCTTCCAGGGTGGCCAATGCCTAGACTCAGCCAGGGTCCTACATGCCCAGAACAGACCTCTGCTGTTGCTGGGGAGACACTGGTGTGATCTGCCACGTTGCTATGGGTAGCTGGGGGTTGGGAATGGGTCTGTGGAGCTGGCAAGAACTGCCTGTACAGCCCCTCCTGCCTGGAACTGGGACCAGAGCAGGAGGGATCCCCAGGGACTGCTTGGAAGGGAGGAGAGAAGGAGCCCTCCCTCCTGCCCA